GAAGCATGAAGTTCAAGCAGCAGACGATCTACACAGAAAAAGGCACACAGAATCCTCAGAATGATGGAGAAAAGAGATCTGAGCACAACTAACATGTAAGGAGGGCTGGTCCCAAGAACACAAAGGGCTATCCGATTACATAGAGGTGACTGAACATAGAGGGAGGAGAGTCCCACTCCTATTGGAAAAACTGGGAGATGAAATGAAATTGCTTGACAACTAAGCAAATGGAAAAAAGAAATAGTCATTAACCTTGGGGAAACCAAAGTTCTACATGGAAAGAAGCAAGACAGTGCTCTACATGGCTAACCCGCAGGTCCTACTTATCATGGTGGTAAGTATGGAAATGCTGAATGGTGACTTAACCAAAAATTATGATAGCTCTGTTAGAAGGTTGGGGGTGAATGAAACAGGTGTGAAGAGAGAGGAGATGGACAAGGGAGCTAAATCCTCTTCTTCACTGGTAAGAAGTTTTAGACCTTGTCATAAACAAGGACATAATGGACACAGCAGCTAAGACAATCAAAAATTAGTTACTTCTGGAAAGCATGAACCTAGAGTGAAAAACGAGTGGGCAGGATGTGTTTAAAATTACATGCCTTTTGAGGCACCTGGATGGCTCAGCTGATTAAGAGTCTGCCTTTTTTTTTTTTTTAATTTTTAAAAAATGTTTATTTATTTAGGGAGAGAGAGAACACGTGTGGGGGAGGGGCAGAGACAGAAAGGAGAGATTCCCAAGCAGGCTCCTTACTGTCAGTGCAGAAGAGCCTGACACGGGGCTGGATCTCACGAACTGTAAGATCATGACTTGAGCTGAAATCAAGAGTCAGACGCTTAACCGATTGAGCCACCCAGGCTCCCCTAAGTGTCCAAGTCTTGATTTCAGCTCAGATCATGGTCTCATGATTCATGAGATCAAGCTCTGTGTTGGGCTCTACACTGACAGTTTGGAGCCTGCTTGGGATTCTTCCTCTCCATCTCTCCCTGCCCCTCCCCCTCTTGTGCTTTTCTGCACACTCTCTCAAAATAAACATTTTAAAATAAATAAAAATGCAAGCCTCTTTGTACTATTTTACCTTTTTAATCATGTATGTGTATAACTTGAGGAAAAAAATCTAAAACTGAAAAAGAAACCCCCAAAAACCTCTTTCCCCCAAAGAGAGGGAAACTATACAGCCCAGAAGAACAAGAAAGTCACAGTGCAACTTTGACCTTTGTTCTTCAAGTGGTGATGTGTCTGAACCTGTTAAAATAGAGGACCGAAAATTAACTATTTAGACTCTGGAGTGGATTGCATGATTCCCTGCAGTCATTTCCTGAGAAATGTCAGCAGTGAATCTGTGTTACAGCATAAAGCAAATAGCTGAAACACTGCTGGGAAAGTATTTATCTTTGCCAGTAACCTAAACAAGCTGCAGAAACTGACCTCTTCTCAACGTGATCCTAAAGATGGGAGAATCAAGCCTATGGACTTTGCCAACGGAAATGGAATGAGCGCAGGAATAAGCATGACAGGAAGTGAGAGAGAGGAAAGCCCCTTTGCTGAAGACTGTTTCCCCACCTGTAGAATTTGGAGGCACAATTAGATCATCTCAAGTTCCTTTTTTAGCACTAAAGTACAAGTGAGACCTTTGCACGCACCTCCTTAACCTCTTTCATTTCCTGAATTAACTAATGGTTTATGGCATAGATGACCATATGTCCTAGTGTTCCCAGAACATTCTTGGTTTATATCTGTAGTTTGCTCTTCCTTTAACTCTCCAAAGTGCCTAGTTCAGATGATAAATTACATGGGCCTATTCCCCATCGTCATATCCATTTTAATCTTGTTTATATTTCTAAGGAAAAACATGAATGTAGTTTTTAACTTACAAATACAACATTTCACAACTTGGTTTCTCTGAAAAATCTGGAGAAATCTCAAATTCCTTTGTGGGCAGTTTTGTAAACTATCAAGATTTTTTTTTTAACAGATTAAATCATAATGTAAATTTTTCTTTCAAAAAAACATTCAGTGTGCATGATATTCTGTTAAAACTATCAAACTTAGGGGGCGCCTGGGTGGCGCAGTCGGTTAAGCGTCCGGCTTCAGCCAGGTCACGATCTCGCGGTCCGTGAGTTCGAGCCCCGCGTCAGGCTCTGGGCTGATGGCTCAGAGCCTGGAGCCTGTTTCCGATTCTATGTCTCCCTCTCTCTGCCCCTCCCCTGTTCATGCTCTGTCTCTCTCTGTCCCAAAAATAAATAAACGTTGAAAAAAAATTTTTTTGAAAAAAAAAAAAAAAAACTATCAAACTTAGGACATTTGCTACTTCTTTAAAATCATGACTAAATATTCGTGGAAGAATTAATTCAATATTCTAGGCAATACAATAAGTTTTAATCATTAAAACAGTTCCAGAACAAGGCCTGCCACCGACTTTATTAACAATTATAACAATGATCTCAAAAGAATGTTCTTAGTAGATACGTCTCATCCATCTTCATGGCTGTTTGTAAGCTAATCAGTTACCAACCAGGGAATACGCATGCCCCTTCCACTGCACAAAATGTGTATGCTATTAATTCCCAAACTTTTTTTAAGGTTAAGGCTAGAGTCCTGCCAATCCCCTGAAAAACAGCTTACATATTATTCAGTGAACTTGAAACACTCCTTTCAGTGAGCAGCCCTGAAACAGATTCCATAATTGATTACTCCGTTACAAGGGAGATTTAACATTGCTTGGTTTTCTGGGACAAAGAGTTGCTTAGTTTTATTCAAATATGCACTATCCCTGATATAAAACATGTCTCACTATAAAGAGCTGTGATTTGTTTCAGCATTTTCTTTTTTACTTAACCACTTAAGACACTGCCTCTGGAAGTTTCTTTTAAGTGAAATATGAGGTCCAATTAGAAGGGGAAAAAAACCCAGTGAATGAATTTTGCTTCAAGGATGCATGATTACCATATTTTTAAAAATTGCTTAAAAAATGAGCTAATGTGTTAGACTGGGCCATGCTATGATGACTAATTCACTGTCTGCCCTAACCTAACGAAAACAAAAGGAGAGCTGAATCTGGCACTCGCTTGCGCTTTTAATCGGTATTAGAAAGTATGCCTTGAGTTTTTGGATCTGAGATCAGGTTTGCTTGGTAGCCTCAAAGAGCAATTTTCCCTTTTTTTTTTCTTCCTAAATTTGCTTTTGATCATTTCAGACAATTCATCCTTTTGAATGAAAAACAGAAGAGAGGAATCTTGAATGAGGTTAAGTAAACGGAGAAACTGTCACATAAAGCAAGTTTAAATCCCAGTAACAGCATCCATGCAGGACAAACGGAAGCATTATTCTTTTGAAAACATTATTCTTTTAAACAGTGTGTAATGACATCCTCCCTAGAGACTTCTTCCATGAAAGAAGGAAAAATACTTCCTCAGAAGTCATTTTCTAGATTCCAAGTGTAATGAGTGAAGCACAGTTAAAAGTTAAAACCTGGGTTTTTACTTTACATAACAAGGTTCAAAATTGAACCGCAAAAAAAGGTGATTCTAAGAGTTTCTCCATTTCCTTGTTTTCTGTTACTTTCTGATATGTCCATGAACGAAAGGGACAAGTAAAAAGACTGCCATTACTATTTTAAACCTACAAATCAGTGCATGTGTTCTTACTGTAAACTTTGAGCTAAGCATATTTTCTGTTTTCAAGGAGGAAATCTGCAAGACTCAACTATGTGGAACGTCAGATAATTTACTCTTAACTTCCCTGAAAGTAGATAATTTTCTTACGCTGAAATATAAACTGTGGAATATGTTTCAAGTACTCTGTGCTCCCGTTACCACCTAAGAACTTAAGTAAAATAACTATAGCAAGTTTATGTTTTTAAGTTTGGTATTTAAGTATCAGAAGTTGGCTTTTGTTCCAAATGTTTAAAATAGGATTAGACAACAAAAAGGTACGTAGCAGAGAAAGTACTTCTTTCAATTCAAACACTACTTTATAAGTGATGCATGGTCCAAATAAAGAGCTCTCTTCAAAGATTTCAAAACTGTTGCACACACATTTAATGTAATCCAACAATGAAGAAAGACACTACAGATAAATCATAATTATGATGTTTATTTAGCAAAATAAACTTAAAGTTTTCTATTAAAAAAACATAAGAATCATATCCAAACTTTAGCTTCCCCCATCTTCTTTGGTATTGAAATCAATGTTCGGGGTATAAAATATTTTATTCTGAAGTTGCGTCACTGGGTCTATAACAGTTTTCCATATAAGGAAAATAGAAAATTAAATTGCCTGTAACTGTCTTATTTATTGAACAACAAATGGATGCATTACGTGTGCGCAGAGACCAACATCAAGGAAATATTCATTCACTGATGTGTTTTCTACAGAAAAATATATTTCAATTTTTTAATGATCATCTGTCATCATTTTATTATGTTGTCCGAATAGTAATCCAATATGCAGATCCTGCTGTCACTTCCCTGATGAACTACCCTCCAAGGAAGTGAACACTGCCATCCCAGGACTTAGCAATACTTATTTTTCAACATGATTCCACCATTAAAATTTTTCTGAATTTCTCATTATTGTGGGCTTCAGTCTTTGCCATAAAATAGTATCTGGAAACTGCTAAACATCATTAAATTAATATTAATAAAACCCAAATCTATCTAAATCTTTTTCTCTCAAGAAAAAATATCACTTAAAATCAGACTTGTTGTTTCTTCTAAGAGTAGTATTATATGCATTGCTAACTTAGCCAAGCCAGTTACTTCCAGAAACACCATGGGACAACCAAGCTACTCTCCTTCCTCTGATAAACCTTTGCCTTTCCAATTCCGATTTCTCCATATCCCTGCTTTCTTGTATGAAAAAATCTTCCCCTTAATTTGTTAAAATGAATCTGAGATAAAAATTCCAGTAACAAACTAGGGCAATTTTTTTTTTTTT